GTTGCTCATCCTGACCTGTGAGGATGAGAACTTTTCCACCCTCTAAAGGAGGACGTGTCTCCCTCAACCCAAGAGGGGAAAGGAGGTGCTGGTTTGTATTACAAGGCTGATATGGCTCCAGGTGCACAGAGGCACACCGGCAGGGGGCTTTTAGAATGCCAGCAGAACCGCATCTCACCGGCGTGGGCAAGGACGGTGACCGAGTGACCGACTGGATGCTGCTGACAGTGGACGATGGGCTAGGGCAGGATCCCAGGTCCCCTTCCTTCTGGGTCCTTGATCCGTGACGTGGACTGGAGGGAAGTCTGGATTGGCCCCTGACAGCCCTTCTCATGGGGAATTGCCCTCCCTAAAAGCAGGGATAGGTGGCCACCCTCACTGGGAGTCTGTCAAGATTCTGTGGGAGCCCCTGGGACGTGGCAGGACGTGGCTGTTTCTGGAGAGTCTCGGCTTAGGGCACTTTCCATTAAAATCAGGTCTCAGTCCCTTTGAGTAACCAAGACAGGCTGGTGAGAGAGAGAGAGGGAGACAAGGTGAGGGGAGGGGGTTGGCCTATAGGGTCAGAGGACCTGGCACTCAGCCTTGCGCTTACTTCCTCCCTCCCTCCCTCCCTTGAGAAGCACAATAAAGGATCTCAAGCATTGGGGGGGGGGCGGCAGTCATGGCCGTTCTGTTCTTGAATCACACAATTTTAGGGAAGTTGCTGTGGCCAACCTGATCGAGCTGCTAAATCTAGGTCACCTTAGTGCAGAATTTTGACCGATTTTTCCTTTCTTTCTTTTTAAAAACCTGCCGAGTTACCTACACAACACTAGTAAGGATTCGGCGAGAGGCCAGCTTTTCCCATTTTAGGGCCCTCCTGAAGAACTGGACTACATCTCCCAGCATCCTCAGCCAGCATCATGGGCAATTACCATGGCAGTCAATTTATGGGAGTCTTACCTCCAGGGCATCTGGAAGGGGCCAAGTTGGCAGAAGCTGCCCGGGCATGCCACACGTTCCCGGGAACTCACTCTCTAGCCAGAAACATTTTTTTAAAATACAGTAAATAAATTCCTGTGCTCTGGCTTTATCATTGTGATTCTACGCTGTCTGAGTTGTTTCCTTATTTTTGTCAACATATTCAAGGTGTCTCACACAGCGAGGAAGTTAAAAACAACTGCATTGTATGAATAAACATTAAAGAGTAATCACCATAACTTGAAAAAAAAACTGTACTAAGAAAAACTAAAATGGCAGAGAAAAGCGTAGAGAAAATTGCAAGAACAGCCTCACAATCAGTACGGAGCATAAACATTGGCTCTCCCTTTCCAAAGAAAAAAGAAAAAGAAAAGAATGAAGGAATGAATAAATAATCCAAGCCTCAGTAGAAGCAGGATTTTGCCTCTTGCATTCTCAGAAATGGAACAGATCCATTCATCGTATTTAAGTTTGTTTTAGTCTTATGTAGAACTGTTTCAAATTGATGAAATTGTTTTACAGACATTGTAAAGTTACTTTTTCTGACTGTGCTTCCCTGCTGGACTTGGGACAAGGCTAGGATGATTTTCTTTTTAAAACAACAACAGATAAATAATACATAAATGATAAAACAGGAGTTTAAACCTCCAGCGTAAAACAAGAATGAAAGCAACAAGGGTTTTAGATGCAGGAGAAAGGAGCCGTGTGGATAGAGATGAGCTGATCAAGAAATGAGAGAATAAAACCTTTTTGCCCCCATGCATTCTGTTGTGTCTCTGCCTGGGGAGCCACACACATACACACACGCACACACCCTCCCCGCAAGGCCCCCAGTGAACCAAATAAAGGCCGCAGTTCTCGGGGGGGGGACATCGGGGGACTCACCAGACCACCCTCTGGATGCCTGTCCAGGGAGGGCGCCGGCGAGGGGCACAAAGTGCCTCCAGAAGTATGCCAAAGGCCCAAAGATCTTTGTCAGCAGTGTGGATCAGGGCCGCGGGCAGGCAGTGTGCTCGGCTCATGCTCAGAGGCACTGCTTCTTTCAGGGTTAGTTTGCATGTGCCAGAAACCAGAGCCTGAGTCTACTCTGTTTCCAAATTCCAAAGATCAAAGTTCCCCTTCGGTCTCATGCCCGCCTGTTATCTCTATCTCATCTGCTGCTTTAATTAACATTTTATTCTCTTTGGCTTCCCCCCAATGCTTATTGCATTTCATGTTTTTGCTGAAATGGGTCTGCAAACTGGGGTCTCTTCTGACCTTGGATTTAGCATCACCAGGCAATGAGTGCTCTATATCTATGGGATGGACCGTTGAGAAGGTCCCTGCCCCCCTTCAATGAGGAGAACCGCAGACGGTGGTGGTGGGGCTGGGAGGTGTCGTGGCGGGGGTGAAAAGGGCATGCAAGGGGGGGTGTTGCGGGGGGCTTTGGGGGGGGTCTGTCCCTGCTTGGCATCTCCCACCAGCCCTGCCTTCCCTCTGCCATTCTCTCTCTCTCTCTTGCTCACTCGCTCTCCTTTCTTCCGCTTCATTTTGCTCCTTCCTGCTTCTTTGCTCCGGGCGGCCGAGTTGCTTTTCTTCTTGGTAGAGCCGCACCGAAGCGTCTGTTGGGACACCTCCCCTGGGCAGCCCCCACAGCCTGGCAGCCGGCCCAGAACTAGCCTGCCTGCCTGCCTGCCTGCCTGCCTGGCCGGAAAGGAACTCAAGTGACCTACTTACCACACACAACTTGAGCAGAGCCATCTTGTGTTTGTGTGTGAGAGTTTCAGGCACGCAGAAGCAACCTCAAGACAAGGGGGTTGGGGAAAACGGCAGGGCGAGAGCTAGAGGAATGGCATAAGCCAAGGAAACCAAGAGTGAATCTGATAGAGAGGGAAATTGGCACACACACACACACACACCCTCACACACACACATGCACACACACACCCTCACACACACAAACACACACACACACCCCTTGCCAAATGGCACAGAGGCTGATGCTGGGCCGGGTAGAGCCTGACTCTCAAAGTGGAGGCACATAAGCCGAGAGAGGCAGGTTCGGGCATCCGCAGAAATTCCGGCTGGGTGACCTTCTGCGGCTGTTGCGTCAGCCCCAAAACTGCTCCGATGTAGTGAACTTCAGTCGGTGTTGGGAATCCTTCTCTTCTTAAAGAAACATTTTACATGTTTAATTTCTGAGCAGCAACCAGAGGATTTCTTCAGTATTACTGAACGTTTTTCCCATGTACTGATTGAAGCCCTAAAAGCCTCTGATCATGTGCAAAGTGCATCACAGACTGCTGGCCATCGTAGAGGCTGGTGCGCTCACGATCCACCACCACGGGCCGTCAAGGAAAGGCATGTCCATTCCCTGCATCGGAGGGAGCGGGGGAGGGCAGGGCTCACTGTCAGACCAGTGGCATGACCGGCCCAGGCTGTCCGAGGGAGGACAGGCTGCTCGCTTTTCCTGCCGCCACTGATTTGCCCTCTGTCCAAGGTCATGCCAAAAGCAGCCTGTTCTGTTTTTAAGGGGGCAGCAGAATTCGTGTTGTCTTGAAGTAAGCCTGTTCCTCTCCTTGGACCAGGGAAGTTGATGAATGGAATCCCTTCCAAAGAATGTAAATGAACTGAAAACAACTCATTAGTCAAGCAACAACCCGTCGTCATCTGATAGAGGAATAACCAAGTCGTGATTTCACTCGGCCTACAAAGGCTTGGCGAGAGACATGGATTTTCGCTTGGGGCCCAAATGGAACCAAGTGTTTCTGGCACCGGGAGGCCCAGTTCTCCAGATATATTTGTTTTATGAAGGATGCTTCTTTGCACACCTTGAAGACCCCACTCTTCCCAGGTTGCCTTTCAATACAGAACAGTACATTTTTGCTATCAAATCATAAGACGCCTTGAGCGTAAACCATCTTCACGTAGTGACACAAATTTAAATACTGTTCCATGTGCTTAGCAGCCAGAAACACCATATGTTCAACTCAATGCCAGACAGAACAAGGATGTTTTTAAAGCCTTCTTATAGTAGCTTTATACAGCTGGCTTCATGGGAGGAGAGATGGGGAGATGTGTATCTTTTGGCAGGGAGTTCCACAGATCAGGCGCCACCCCTGAGAAGGCCCTGCAGGCAGCAGTTATGACCAACCTTACTGGTTGTTGTGGTGGGCGAGAAAATAGATCCTCTCGAGGTGATCTCAAAATGGAGATGTATGGGTGATTGTGCTTCCCAAAGGATGCTGGGAGCAGCAGTCGGCCACACCAGCTGAGAGATTATGGGAGGCAGCTGCAGGGGTGGATAACCTCTCTCTCCCCCCCCCCTTGGTCTTTTCAGGATGATCCCACCCTCAAGCAAAGCCTTCTTGGTGAAGGACCTGGCCTCTGGGCGGGACTACCACCTGTGCGTCTTGGCGGTCTACGACGACGGGGTGACGTCCCTCACGGCCACGCGGAGCCTCGGCTGCACCCAGTTCAGCACGCTGCCCGACGCCCTGCAGTGCCACTCGCTCCACACCCAGTTCCTGGGGGGCACCATGATCATCATCATTGGGGGCATCATCGTGGCCTCCGTCCTGGTCTTCATCATCATCCTCATGATCCGCTACAAGGTCTACAGCGGCCAAGACGAGCACAAGAAAGCCAAAGTCAGCAACGTCCACTCGCAGACCAATGGCAACCAGGCCCCCTCGGCCCCCACCATGCCCTGTTCGGCCTCCAGGCCGGAGGGGTGGGGTGGGAACCCTGCCGGGGCGGCCTGGGTGAGGAGGGACGGCAGCCTGCCGGCCTTGAGCAAGGACTGCGAGAAGGGCTCCCGGACCCACCTGCCGGACGTGGGGCCAGAGGAGAACCCCTCTCCCCGAAGGAGGAGGCGATGGTCACGGACTAACGTGGACCTCCATAGCAGTTGTTCTGGCTCTGGCCTGGACGCCTGCCAGGGGGAGGACGCGCCAGGTAAGCCAGCCGACGCTCCGGAGCAATCGGCTCCACACAGGGTCCTCATCCATAACCCGCTGTTGTCTTTCGTAGGAGGAGAGCAAAGGGAGTTTATATTCTGCGGGGGGGGGGAAATGGTCAGAATTTTACTAGGGTCCACAGAACTTGCCGTGGCTAATTGGAGCCAATTGGCAAGGTGTCAAGGAGTGAAATTCCAGCTGACGGTGGTGCTAAGAGCTTTCTGATGGTGGAATACTGTGGAAAGTGGTGGAATTTTTTTTGAAAGAGAGGCCGGGTGGCCTTCAGGCAGGGAGGGGTCAGTAGCAGACTTCCCACTTTGGCAGGAACAGGACTGGATCCGGTCATCCGGGGAATCCATTCAGACTCTGCCACAGCCCTGTGACTCTCTGGGCCTGAGTACTTTCAGATTATAAATTGTATTCTTTTTGTCTTTAATGGTGAAACTTTAGGATGTATTTAGTTTTATATTCAGTTTTAGGACAGATTTTCCCGTTTGCTCAGGTTTAGGATTTTATGGAGATCTGCTCTTGGGGCTGGAGATCTTAGCAGCCACATGGGGATGCTCCTGCTCCCAGTGGAACCACTGAGGACTCTCCCTCCCCATGGAAGCTAGACTGGGCTGACATGGGCCGAAGTGGTCATGTGGGGATTGAAAGAGATGGCAAGGGGCCAGGATGATCACCCACACACACACACACACATCATTGTCGCCAGGGGCTGTCACTCTTTTTCAGTCTTGTGACTGCCAGCGCAAGAGGAAGGGATCAGAAGCCCGGGAAGGGAGAGGGCTGGCTGTCACGAGCGGGACGGAGGAGGCTGGCGGGACGAGAAGCCGCCTTCTGGTTTCCACCTTGAACAAAATTCCTGTGTCTTCAGGGGTCAGCCCGGGGTGTGGTGGTGGCCCTTCCGGGGTGGATGCAAAGGGCCTTCCATGCACACCTTTTTGAGTCATGGGTAGTTGGCTTTGGGTCTTGCGATTCTGTTGGACTCTGGATCCCAGGAAGCCTAGCTGATGAGGGATGATGGGAGTTGGAGTTGGAAGAGTCTGAAGGGCCTCAGGTTGAGGAGCAGAAGTCCTCTTCCAGAGCTGGGGGGGGGGGGGGGGGCCTCCTGGCCTGTACCCCTCCTCCTCCTCCTCCTCTTCCTCGCTCCCTCCCTCTGATTGTCTTGATCACCTGCAGATTCCCAGCTGATGCCACCTGCTGGTGAGAGGAAGAATGGCAGCGAATGGACGGATGTCAAAATCTGACCTCGGGTGCCCCCCCTCCCCACCCGGTGGGAACAAGGTGCGGCTAGACGGGAACCCTGAGGTAGGAAGCGCTCTCCTCTGCCTCCTTCCCATGACAGTTTTGGAGGAGATCATGAGGACTCTTGGTTGTCCTTGAGGGAGTGTGTGTGTGTGGGGGGGGTAGACTTCTCCTGCTGCCTACAGACACCCCCCCCGGTCCTTTGCTGACCTTCTCAGGTCCTTCCTAAAGGAGACTAGGGCATGGGAATCTCGACGCTCCCATTTCTGGAGGTCCCTAGCTGCAAATGGCCTTCTTTACCAGGAAGAGGGCAGGTATCATCATCATCATCATCATCATCGAACTGCAGAGCTGGAAGGGACCCTCTGGATCACTGGGTCCAGCCCCTGTCAAGGAAGCCCAGCTGGGGAATCGATCTCCCAACTTCTGGCTCCGCAGCCGCCAGGTGCTTAAAGCACTGAGCTATCCAGCAGGTCCCCAGGTGTATGGAGGAGGAGGCCGTCCTTCTCTGAGCTTTGAAATCAAGGGGGCAGTTTTGGGTTCATCAGGCAGTTCAATGTTTCCTGCAGCCTGTCTGAGCCGAGGGAAGCCAGAGCAAAGGGCCTCGCAGGGATTCCACTCAGATCAGCCAGGAGACTCGCGGAAGAGTCCGTTCCACTTGCATAGTCTGGAGAAGGAGAGTAATAATGCAGCACGTGTGGTTGTAACAATTATATTTGTGGTCAGGATCAGGGCCAAGGCCATATCTCCTCTGCCAGGTGGTAAAACTCCTCTTTCCCTTCTCCCTCCTCAGATCGGTGTGTTTGCTGGGACCTGCCGCTAACCCCTCCTGGATGTCCTTCCCACCTTCCGGCCTCTCGCTCCCCTGGTTGCACAGCAGCAGGGGGGGGGGAAGCCCTGTCTACCTGTGTCCATCGATGGGGTTCATCGGGGAGAAATGAGCCAGGGCTGCCAGGAGGGGCCACCGAAGGGGCTAGGAGGTGAGTCGGGGTCCCCTCGAGGGGCAGGCTGCCTCCGAGCGGAGCAGGGTTGTAAGAGACGTGCAGCAGTGTGTGGAGGGGAGGTCGAATATCCCTTGAGAAAAACCGCCCACGGTAGGGCTCCCGCTTCTGCCAACAAAGTCGGGTCATTCCATCCTGGCCTCTCTCAAGGTGGACAGAGACCCAGAAGAGCCTGCTTTTCTCTGGGGCTGCCACTGGCACACCACTCCCTGGCCAGAAGCCAGGTCTCCAGCCCAGATTTGGGTGGGTGGAGGTGGAGGTGGAGGTGGCGTAAACTTCCACCAAGTCCCTCAAAACCCAGACCGTCAAGGAATCTAAGCTTCTGCTTGTGTCTCTCTCTCTCTCTCTTTCAGGCGGCCCGTTTCCAGACTCCACACCATTCCTGTGAGCTCCCGCTGTGTTGGTGCTGACATTTTACAAAGGGAGGTGGGCTGACACCCCCAGACACTTGCTCCGACTTTGCTGGAGTGGGGGAGGAGAATCTGTGTTTGCCAGGGTCACTTCCACACATGACTTCTTGGCCCTGTTTCTACTAGACTCACCTGTGGGGACCTCCTTTGGGTTTGTCGGTTTGTTTGTTTTCTATTAAGCTCTTTCTGTTTTTCTAAATCATATCTGCAGTTTTTCTAATAAATGGAGTTAGAAATCAGCGACAGAGGTCCAAGACCCAGCGTCCTCCCTTCTGCACCCAGGCACACGTGGGTCAAGGTGGGTGGGTGGGGGGGGACAAAAATCAAAGTGAAACCTCCTCCTTGGGGAAGCAAGGTTGCCCTCTTAAAAATGACCCCTTTGGCCAGATGAGAGGCAAAAAATTGAAGAGGATTAGGACACTTTGTGGCTTTTCTTGCAATAAGGTTGTGTAACAGCTCTCCCACAGGTGCCCAAAGAGGTAACCAAAGGCCGAATGTGTGCGGTCTGATTTATTGTCTTGCAAGAAGAGGCCTGGCCCCCAGAACAGCTGCGATGGGCCCAAGGACACCGACCACCTCAATGTACGAGGACATCCTTTCAGTGAAATGCAAGCAGCAGCTCCCCAACCACGCCACCCCCCCCTCACCACCAGATCACAAGGGCTGTCACTCACCAGCAATTCTGTTGCGCCTGGGTGGCACGCCAATCAGCTCGCCCTTCTCCAGCCCCAGGCGGCCTCTGTACGGTTATGTGGGGACAGAGTGGTTGCAAAGTTCCACAGCATGCGAGGGGGGGGGCTCGTTCCAAAAGGCCCCCCGAAGAGAACTGCCTGCTTCCATCCTGCGGTCACCCTTTTGGCCGCAGCCTGGAAGCAAAGAGTCACCAGGAACGTAGTTACCTGCCGACACAAAGCCACAAAGACTCTTGAGGCACCTTGCAAGCTTTATTCGGCGTCTGCTTTTGTGGACTGAAGCCCAGAGTGAAAATAAAGTCACATTTCCAAAACAACGAGAAGGACCTTTGCGCTGGTATGGCTGCAGCGAGCCTTGCCGGAAAGCCTTGGGGGAACGGAGAGGAGGAGGAAGCAGGCCGTTCCTTCACCCCGGCTGCCGCCTTCGCCCTCCATCTCTCATGCCAGAGGAGCTGTCACCTCCTCCGCGTGGCTTCTTGCTGGTGCTTTTGTCTCTCAGTGGTTGCACCGCACGTCTCTCTTGACAGCCGAAATGCATCTTCTGTCCCGCTTGCTCTGCACAGCACAGGAGGCAGGTCCTTGGCAAACACACACAGACTGCACACCAGGACTGGGGAGGACAGAAATCTTCCCAGAAATAGGCAGAGGCGTGGGGGGGGTGGGGGGGGGGGGGGGTCAGACCGCAAAGATGCCATCCATCCATCAAGCCCAGGTGGGCAAGGAGCTGGGGTCGGGTCAGCAGCAGGTGACCTGAGGACCCGGCTGCCAAAGGAAGCCATGTGGCAGCTTGGAAAATATTTTTTTAAAAGCCAGCTGGACTTCTAGAAACTAGGCTGGGTGAGCGGAAGCCCTGGATGGATCCTGCACAGAGATGGGCCTGCAGGACCGAGAGCACAGAGGGTTCCCAACCAGAAGCCATAGAAATCAGGAAACCGCTTCAGAAAGTTACTTCTCTTCAACAACAGCTCGCGGAATATATTCCGTGGTCACCCAGGAGAAGAAGAAAAACAAACAAAGCTGGCGGCTGTTTACACTTGAGGAGGCTTGCAGAATTTGAACCGGGTGAACCTGCCCTTGTACACACCCTCAGTCCCAAAAAGCCAGTGATCTGAAGAAGGGGCCCTTTGTTACGTTAGAGAATAAGAAACTGATTGGTCTTCTCGGTCCTGCCTTTAAAAAAGAAAAGAAACTAAAACTGGGAAACAGATTTAATGGCATTTTTGTACCAAGTAATTATTAGTCAGGCCTCAATAGCTGCTCAAATGTTTATTATTTTGCTATCATTATAATTCATTGCATTTGAAAGGGGAGGAAAAGGTGAGCATTAATAGACAGGGAGAACCAGTAAATTTACTGGCACTGGTTTTATGGCTTAATTTTTTTTTTTAACTTGCAGAGAAATTTACAACTGTTTTCTCTGCTGGAAGCCTGTCCGTATATATTTTTGGAGGTCTGCAGGCAGTAAACACAGCGACATATTGTCTTGGGATGGAAGGGGGGTGAGGATGGCGGTTGCAGGGGAAGCATCATCAAAAGGGCACGATCCACCAGGGATATTTTCTGCGCACAGAGCCTTGAGCCCTCACCCCGCCCCAGGGTCCTATGATAAGCATCATCCTTTTTTTTGACTGCCAGCAGTACACAGCCACAGAACCTTCTGAAATTCTCCGTCCTGGAGTATCAAACATCCTGGTCTTTTGTCCCAAGGGAAAACATTGGCTATAAGGTTGTTTTGTTTTTTAAATATCCAGATTTAATAGGAAGCACCTGAAGCAGCACGCAACACAGAAGGAACGACAGGTTGCTGCAGCTGAACCATGTGTGCGCACGTGTGTTTATGTGAACACCCACCCACACCTACCTGTTCGGGAATGGATTCTTGAACGTCTGTGGAGCACAGCAGAGCCCAAACTTCTCTCTACCCGCCCGCTCTGCGACTGGGGCACCCAAAGGATAACTCCCTTGTAAATCATCTTGGGCAGTGCTTTCTGGCTGTGACAGAACGTGGGAGGCGCTGAGTGGCAGGAACGGTGGGCTTTGCCTGATGGAGAGAGAGCGAGAGGCTGCTTTTCTGTTTAGCCAAACATTCAAGGCTTCTCCGCGTGTGTGTGTGTGTGTGTGTGTGTGTGTGTGTGTGTGTGTGTGTGTGTGTGTGTGTGTGTGTGTGTGTGTGTGTGTGTTCGTGTGAAAGCAGCTGGCCCAGAACAACAAGCGGGTGGTGCCTAGAGGACTAGCACACTTTATTTTGAGGATTCAGCCTAAAGAATTCAAGCACAGGTGACCCACCCTGTGCCCAATTTAGGGCTGTAACCATTGCACACTAATGCCACCTTTTAGAAATACATGCCTTGGCTCATTTTTATTTTAACAGTGAGATTTCTCGTGGTTCTTCTTTTTGCAGATTCTACAATAGTGTTCTGGTCATCATCATCATCATTATCAGCCAGACGCCTAAATTAGTTATCCAGAAGTTCTCATGTTCTATTCAGCTCCGTTTAGGAGCTGTAGAAAATTCTAGGCCTCTGCGGAGACAGAGACGTCTCTGTCATAGAGCCTGGCCCACCTGATTTATTCCTGGGAGATGAGGAATTGAAGAAGAGAGGCGTGGGTGATGCCACGCTCAGGAAAGCTGCTGATGGTGGAAGACTTGAACCCAGGACCCAGATCCTTTCCTCAGATACTCTCTCCCCTGGGCCTTGGATAAAAGGTTCACCTTGTGCCACAATGCTGCTGCTGCTAAGGATTGATGATCCCAGGAAAATGGCCACTACCTTACACACAATTCAGTGGGTGACGGATCCTGCCCTCTTACCTCTTAAGCATGTGGATTCAGCCTACCCAGCCCACCAAGGGCATACTCTTCTTCTTGAGTTTCCTTTACTGCAGAACATGTAACATTTGGGGTCCCCTCAAAGCTCTGCCAAATTTTTCAGCAGCTCAGTAAAATCTTGCAGCACAAGCACCAGGTTTTAATGGTGTAACTGAAGGTCAGGCCACCCATTAAATCAAAACTATTTCCTCCTGTTATTACCATCTTATCCTTCAAGGCACACAAACCTTTCAGGGCCACCGGGCTGGAAAGAAATCTGCTCATCTCCCAGTGACCAATTAGAAAGCAAGAGCCAGTCCTTGTTTTTCTAAGGAACAGTCTTTCCGTCTTAAGGGACTTCTGCTTCTAATGATGCCCTCTGCATTTGGGGTCCTGCTTGTCACCCCAAAACCAACAGTGCTCTTTTCACTGCAAGAATTTTGCAGAACTTTTGTCTAGGTTTTGAATGAGAAGAACAGTGTGTTTCCCTTGGGAACCCTGAGTGGATCTGTTACACAGTAGTGGGATCGTGCAAAATGTGGGCACGCGCTCCCCCAAGGAATCGCTGCTGAACTTTGGCATCAGTTTTGAGGGACTTGCAGATCCCAAGGTTCACAGTGACAGAAGTTCCATTTTACTGCCTACCAGGCTATCAGACCTCTGAAAGAAGGAAGGAAAGGAAAAAGACAGGGTGCCATATAGAGTATGTGAGCTGCTGTTGCCATGGAGATCCAGATAAAAATATCTGGGGGGGGCTGCCTTCCTTGGAGGGAAAAGAAGACGCTCCTCCAGCCCCATCACAGGGGCTCCTCCATGACTGACAAGCCTTGTCTTCCTTCCTTCCCTCCCTCCTCCTACCTGCGCATGCACACACACAAAGGAGCATGGTTGGTGTGTGGGTTGCAAAAAAAGAAAAGAAAAGCCATCCAGAATCCTGCTAAATTCCTCAAGGAAGGGCTTCTGCTTTGCACATCGGGATGGCTGAACCCGACAGGCTCCAGGCTGGCCTGCAATCCAGTCTTCTGGGGGAGAAATGAACATCTTCCTCACCCTGGTTGTGGGTGGGCCGTGATTGCTGTGGGAAAGGGAAAGGCACTCTGCACATGCCCCACAGCACTTTACGTACTCGGGTGTGGTGATGAAAAGAGGTTTGTTTGCGGAAAGCACAGCAGACACGAATCACTGTGTTGCAAACTCTGGTTTCTCTTCCAATCATATAAATCTTTCGACTTTTGCAAATCTCACCATCCATTCGCTCCTGTGAGAAAAAGAGGGAGACGCGGAAAGCTCTCCTGCTGGGAAAGTCCCAGGTCCATGCTGGTGGTGAGAGAGAGGTGCACTCTGTGCATGTTCAGCTGGCTTGAGCCTCGGTCCTCGTTCTGTCTTTTTATCTCCTCTGTTCAGAGGCAGATCCTGCCCCAGAGGAGCTTCTCAGAGAAGGAGAGACCTCTGGGGCTGGCAAACCCACCCCTCCTGCCTTGTGTAGGTGGTGCCCCAGCCCGTGGATGGCCCAATTCATTTGTCCTGAGACCTCATTCCGTCCGCAGAGCCTTGGGCCTGATTTCCCACTTGGGGGGGTGATGAGAGGAGGAGGAAGAGCATCACTGTTGCCTTAGCAACCCCCAGATGGGCTCCCAGTGGACTAGGCTGACCCAAATAAGCCCACTGGCTCCAGCACCCCAGTTGCTAGGCAACCACACCATCTTCCCTCCTGCTGGCGCTGATGAAAATACTTCCT